TAAATGTCGTAGATATTTAAATAAATATTGAGTTGACCTATAGGCGGAAAAAATTGCAGCGTGCAATATTGGCCTCATTTTGCCCCGATGGGGACCATATATCCTTGTTTTTCTATATAATTAAAGGGTGCATTAAAACATTGATGGGGAAGTTAGTAACACTGTATTTCTATTGTGAAACGATTAGTTTAGGAATCACACAATTTGATGATATATTTCTGCAGGAAAGAGGAAATGTCCGATGGTTTAAGAATTTTTAGTGGTTATCTGTTGGATCCATTTGATCAAAAAGTTCGTCAGTGAGTAGTCTACACAAAAATTTCAGAATGATAACCCAACCCAAAGCAAATCACAAGCTAAATTATTAAAATAAGACCCTTCTATCTTTGTTTATTAAAATGATACCCAAAAAAATTACTTTTCAAAATAACGCCCATTTCAATCACATAGGATGAAGGTACTATCACATAACACTTTTAATTTACGTGGCCGAATTGAAGGGACGCATTTCTGCATCACGAGACAAACGAGAATTAAAAGAAGTTTTCTATTGTTTGTATATTGTGAGCTTATAGAAGACATCGTCTCTACACCTGCCACTATTCCCCTGTTCTTCCATGATTGCTTTATAAAAGTAATGCTAATTGCATTCAGTTATTGACTTGTTCTTACACATGCAAGTAAATATTAGCATTAACGCTACAATGCTCCATGTATTTTCAATCAGATAAGAGTTAACATTTTATAACGGGTGAAAATAGACTTTTAATACAGAATATATAGAAAAAAAATCTATGATATTTTAAATGTTCAGGAGGTAATTATCCGCATCTATCCCTCGGTCCATCCATTATGTTTGCCAAAAAAGATGAGAGAAAACTTTGAAAAAAATAGCTGATATGAGAAAGTGCAAAAATTAAATTTTTTTTAACTAGGTTAAAATGAATAATGAAGAGAGAAAATTAATCGGAACATTTGACATCTTCATGCTCTTCATCTTTCGACAAGTAATGTTTTGACCATGTATGATAATAACTTTTATGGCAAGTAGGGAGACCAATACTACCATAGTATTATGGACGAGTATAACTGCAACAGAGAAGAAGGTCAATTATGATATTCTGACAGACGACATAAGACGTTGTGTCGTTGTCCTATCTTTAAGAAAAATGACTACTACTTCAAATATCTTTCCAATAATAATGTAGAATACTTTATTTTTAAAAATTAATGTAGAGGTGCATTAACCGGAAAAAACATTCCTCCAATGTATTATCTGGCTAAAATTGTCACACCGTTTACAATAAGAAAATAAACAAATGAACAAATTTGATATATCTGTTTGCATGTTTTCTAATTTGGTTGATGCAGTGATGCTTCAGACTACAGAGTCCAAGGATTAGAATATTCCTCAACGTTGGTGACTAATCACGTAATTTACCATAAAAAAAACTTTAGCGAGTGATATTCACGGTTAGAGGCGCGGGTTATTGAAATCCTACAAGCCCCAAATTATTGCCACTTTCATCTGACATCTCCATCTTGGTCTTCATCATCTTCCTTGTTCATTAGTTCAAAGTTCTGCATTACTTTCAATTGCTTTTGGCGTCCCCCAGTATTCTTCTTAAAATGTAATCTCCATTCTTTTGCTGCCACTTTCCAAGTCCTGCTAAGAAATAGTATAAAGATGATATCTAATCATCCCAGAAGAAAAACCTTCAATCCCTTTTAGCCACAAACCTCAAGAAACTCACCATCACTCCCCCTTCTTCCAATCACGAGTTCGATTTCGGTGATGTTTTTGGCCTCTAACTCCTCACCCTCCATCCTCCATCACCCAATCACCATCCTCCACGTCTCCCCCTCCTGCTTTCCTCGGCGATCCTCAAGTTATCCACACCCAAACCCACTCCTATGTGGGCCCTTCCTCTCGTTACACCCTCTCTTCTTCCCTTCCCCTCGTTACACCCTCTCTTCTTCCCTTCCCCTCGAAATCGATGAGGCTGAAACCGAGAATGAAGATGAAGAACAACTCGAGGCCAAGATTGGGCCTGAGGATTTTGAGATTTTGAGACTTGTTAGACAGGGAGCTTTTGGGAAAGTTTTTCAGGTGAAGAAAAAAGGAAGGGATGTTGATGATGTTGAAGGTGATGGGATTTTTGCTATGAAAGTGATGAAGAAACAAACTATAATTAAAAAGAATCATGTTGAGTACATGAGAGCTGAGAGAGATATCCTCACTAAAGTTGTTCATCCATTTATTGCTCTTTTCAGGTTCCTTATTCGATTCTTTAGAATTTTCACTTTTTTTCTTTGCATCTTTCATGAACTTTAGCCCTTCTACTAGTATTTTCGATTATCTTCATGCTACCCTTTTTCTGAAAGTATTTTATGATGTGATTCTGGTCGGCTGATATGAGAACTGATGATGTTTCTTGCCCTTTATGTTTAGCTGTAATCGAATGGTTTGGATTTGAAGTGTTTGGTCTTTAGGATTCAGCTTGATATCTAATTCATGATCTGATTTTTCATGAACTGGACTCTTCCTGCTATCGAAACGATCAAAAATATTAGAGGGTTTCCTTTTTTGTCTTTGAGAAATTCAAGGCCTTTTATGGTTCAGCAATTTTTCTTGTTTGAACTTATTTATAATAGGGCTCAGGATGTTTCAGTTTATCTTACTAGTCGCTTCCAATCCATGATTTGAATGGGATTTAAATTGCGTTTTCGGTTGTGCTGTGTTTATCTTGATTACTGCAATAGCGGCTGTTATTATGGTCATGGCGGGTATGTTGGTTGTGAAATAGCGGTTTCGAACGGTACTTTTACCACTACGTAACAGCCGCTATTCTAATAGCGGACTGTTATTTAAATCCCTGATTTGAATCTCTTTGGGAGGATTAACTATGAGCTTTACCAGTGGATCATACAAACTTGGGTCTAAGCATAAGGTAGACTCACGCAAATATGGTTTTTCCATATATTTAGTATCTTTTAAGGTAATATTCACATGCGTACTTGTTAGACACGAGTATTTCAAGAAAAATGAAGTCAAATATTAGGATTATACTGCTGAGATTGTATCTGCTGTTTCGCATCTTCACAACTGTGGTTTCGTGCATCGAGATCTTAAACCCGAAAACATTCTTGTGGATGCTGATGGACATGTAATGGCCATGCTCATACTCTTCAGTTTCTGTTGCAGGAACATACTTGACTGTCAAGTATACATACCTTGTTATCATGTTGCCCGAGTATTCCCATTTCTTGAATCTGTATGTTGTCTCAGGTTTTGCTTATGGATTTCGGGCTGGCCAAGGAAATCGATGAATCGAGCAGATCGAATTCAATGTGTGGAACAACGAGTACATGGCTCCAGAAATTTTACAGTCCAAAGGCCACTATAAAGATGCAGATTGGTGGAGTATTGGGATACTGTTATATGAAATGCTAACCTGTCGGGTAATATACAGAGATTTTCAGCATTAAAACCTTCTCAAAATTTCCGAGGTTTAAGCTCCAACTTTGTGCAACATAAACATTGTTAGACTTTTGATTTTCTGCTCGGGTTTGATTCAAGTTTATATAATACTTTCGATAACTATATCATTGAACCCCTTGACATTGCATCCTCCTTTTACACATGCAAATAGGCAGAAGCTTCAGCAAAGAATCATCCAAGAGAAAGTCAAACTTCCACCATTCCTTACCACTGAAGCTCACTCTTTACTCAAAAGGGTACATACATGTTTCAATATGGTTCCTTTCCCTCGTTTTATCCGAGCTACAATATCGAAAATGATTTAGGAATCTTGTTCAAATCTTGCAGATGTTTCAGAAGGAACCGTCGAGAAGGTTAGGCAGTGGTCCCGGAGGAGGGGATGAGATAAAGAAACATAAATGTTTTCGGTCGATCAACTGGAAGAAGTTAGAGGCGAGAGAAATTTAGCTGATGTTTAAACCAGTTGTGAGCGGAAAGGATTGTACTGCCAACTTCGACAAATGCAGGACGACGATGCTGGCAGATGACTCGCCAGCCTCCACTCCAGCAGCAGGTGAACACTTTAAGGGGTATACTTATGTAGCACCTAACCCTTAGCTTTCTTCAAAGGAAGATTAGAGTGCTTAGTGGTCAATAATAGCCCATGTAAATCTATTGTTTACGGTGAGAGAACTAAGAAATAAAATTTGCTTATTTGCTCTCTGTTCTCTGCTATAAACACATCTACTTCTGTGTTTATAGATTTTTTATTTTCTTGCTTATAAAATTATGTTTAGAAGTTTATAAATTCAAGATGCTTTCATTTTCCATGTGGAATATAATTTATCACAATCATTTATATTGCTTCGACTCTTCATTTTTCTTCAAGTGTGTTATTAAATGTATACCCTGACATGAATAAATAGATATAATCCTCTAAGGACCCTCTAAATACATCAAGATTTTTTTTTTTTGGGGGGGGGGGGGGACTGAACATGTACTCGTCTGACTCATTCATGAGATTGAGTTAAAGCTTTACAATAATACCCAAGTCTAAAGCACACATACAATGAGAGATTCATACCTTCTTTGTAGAACCATGAATATATAGATATAACTCACTCAAGTCTGTCCTAATTGAACTTTATTAAAAAAAAGGGTAAAGAGTATAAACAGTCCCCAAGCTTTTAGGGAGCTTGCATTTTGGTCACCTAACTTTTGAAACTTGTAATACACTCATTGAACTTTTAGTTCATTTTTAGAAAGGTCCCTGACGTCGTCTTCTTCTTCTTCTTCTTCTCCCGACTCAAACCAAGCAAAACCCAGAAATGCAAAACTCAGAAAGGAACTTCTTCTTCTTCTTCCAACTCAAACCAAACAAAATCCATAAATGAGAACAGCCGGGGGAAAAAAATCTCAAAACAAATTCAATTGAGTTTTGTGACTTGGGCATAAAATGAGATTCAAATATGAATCCACACCGAAGTAACTTCACTAAAAAAAAAACTTCAAAACGTGCTCAACCGATTTTTGCATTTGCTATCTGGAAACTTACATATCGTGGGCTATTCTGGACAAGTTCAACAGCCTCCTGGCTGCTAAGGTGCTCCCACAGACCATCAGAAGCAAATATGAGAAATTGATCAACAGGGTGCAGTTTGTGTACTAACAGCGATGGCTCGACACTAAGGATCGACTTTTGCAATGGTTCAGACAATCTGAACTTAGGCAGGAGAGGCTCTTTGTTGAACTCTTTCTTCTTTAAATATGCATCATCGAAGGATCTAGAGATCTACAAAAGAACCCACAACTTAAATTCACTTCCAGTTTTCTTAAACCTTTTATGAAAAAAATAAGAACATGATATAAACCTGTATCAAGCCCTTGCCACGCCAAACTTTGTGTTTCATCACAATAATTTTTGGATCATTGGGATGGAATGTGCGATGCTCTTCTCTTACATTATCTACGCTAGCATTAAGTACCATGGATAACTGCAGGGCTTTAACACCCTTTGTTCCTCTTCCAGATCTGCCTAAAACTACTCTTGAATCACTGACATTAGCGATATATAGCGGTCCATTGTAGATCACTCCGGTCAAACAGCAAGACCCCACCGACGCAATATGCGGCTTAGCGTGCCATTGTTTCATCACAAGGAATTGAAAAATTCTTTTCTATTGCCAAAAAAGTTTTTTCTAAGAACTCACAAAAAAGTTACTTCGGTGTAGATTCATATGGGTTTTGCTTGGTTTGAGTTGGAAGGAGGAGGAGGAGGAGGCGGCGGTTAACAGGAGTTAAGTGCTATGTCAGCAAAACCTAATGGGAGTTAACGGTATGGACTTTATTGAAAATGAACTAAGTCGATGACTGTATTATAATTTTCAAAAGTTTGGTGACTAAAATGTAAGCATTTTAAAAGTTTGGGGACTATTTATATATTTACCCTAAAAAAACCAAGGGTAAGCTGCATAGCAAAGCGGGGTTTGCCCTTCATTAGTTAAAGTTGTCTCTCGTAGTTTTACAAAGTTGTGAATCTCATTGGATGTGTGCTTTGGCAACTTATTACTCGGATTAGTGATGGGTCAGGTCCGACTTTTGACTCATCTTAATCTGATCTAAAAATTGAAGTCCTCCATTTATAATTGACCAACTCAAGTTTAGGAGGGCCTTCACCTGACTTGAAATCTAACCCAATATTTAAGGTTAACATTCGAACCCGACCGATCCGACTCGAATCATAAATATAATTACTTTTATCAAATAAAAAATACTTAATTGAAAAAAAAATAAAGGCTTAAAGGTCACCTTTGTCACCGTAGTAATCTCAATTTATCATTTTCGCCCCTATTGTATTTTTGCATCAGTTTAGCCCTCAAAGTTGTTCAATTATGTCATTCTATATCATTCCCCTAACTTAAAACCTTAAATTATAAATCATAAGTTAGTGTTTAGATATTGGGTTATGGTTTAGGTTTATAATTTAGGGTTTTAAGTTAGGGGTATGATATAGAATGATGCAATTAAACAACTTCAAGGGTTAAATTGATACGAAAATACAATAAGGACGAAAGTGATAAATTAAATCTACTATAATAACAAAAATTACTCTTTTTTCCAAAAATAAAATTAAAAGGGGCCTCGATACCAGCAAGTTTCTTTTGATAACATTGGTCATTGATTGACACTGATGTGATACAACTATGTCTAGACCTTCTAAATGGATGTCAGGATATGGCTACAGTTAACAAGACTATTCTAGTTCTTATTCTTAAGGTGGAGGATGTCACACATATGAAGCAAATGCTACCTATTAGCTTATGTACTGTTATATATAAAATTGTATCCAAAGTGATTGTTAATAGATTCAAACCTGCCATGGGATCTTACATAAGCGATAATCAAGCGGCATTTCTACCTGGACGTCAAATCTCGGATAATATAATAGTAGCACATGAACTGGTCCTTTATCTGAATTTTAAAGAATGGTATTAACAAGGAGTCGCGCTGAAATTAGATATAGAGAAGGCATATGATAGAGTGGAATAGACCTTTTTACAGAGTGTTATGATAAAATTAAATTTCTATCAGAAGTTCGTGAATCTAATAATAGTATGTGTCACCACTGTATCATTTGTAGTATGGGTAAATGGTTCCTTAATTAGAGAGCATTTCATAATTTAGAGTCTCCTGCGAAAGCTGCTCTCAACCTAGTGTTGAGGGCACCTACTATTTTACCTGGGAACAAGGGACAACCATTTACACCGAGTAGAGGACTTAGGCAAGGGAACCACTATCCCCTTTTTTATTCCTCTTTGTGACACAAGCATTATCAGAATTATTTCATAGAGCTTAGAGTACTGGCCACATAAAAGGTATAAGAGCATCTTAAAATGGACCTCAAGTATCTCATTTGTTGTTTGCCGACGATAGTCTTGTTTTTCTAAAATTTCGAATTCGGAAGCAAACATATCAAAGATATTTTGAATGTATATGCTATGTGGTCAGGTCAATGAATAAAACTTTCGAAATCTATCATTTATTTCAACCCGCAAACTTTAGTGGAGCATCGTGTGTTAATTAGGAACATCCTCAAGATTCAGGAGGTAGATACCCTGGACATTATTTAGGACTGTCGTTGTACATCGAAAAGAATAAAACATGTATGTTTGGAAATCTAAGCGACAAAGTACTGACTATAGTAACGGGATGGACACAGAAGCTCCTGTCATATGGAGGTCATGAGGTTTTTCTTAAAGCTGTAGCCCAAGTCTTGCCGTAGTATGCTATGTCCTGTTATTTACTTCCAGAAAATTTGTTAAAAGAAATTACTGAGATTATGCGTCGTTACTAGTGGAATGGAACACCGGATAAAAGAGGATGGATCCTTATGTCTTGGACCAATATTCGTAAACCAAAGAGAGTAGGTGGTTTAAGTTTCAGAGACCTCAAGTCTTTCAATCTAGCAATGTTAGGTAAACAATTGTGGCGGCTAATTAAAGACTCAACTTCGTTATTTGCTAGGTTGTCTAGGGCTAAATACTATCCAGACGGTGATTTTCTACATGCTAAACTGAAAGACAAAAGCTCCTATACATGGAAAGGGCTCCATAAGACTTTACAGGAATTATCACCAACGTTGTTTTGGAGAGTGGGCTGTAATAGCAACGCTAAATTATTCTCGGATTCGTGGGAAGGTACGAAATGGGTGAACCTTATAGGTACCTACAACGTTCCATAGTAGGAATAGGCGCTGCGAAGATCTATTGCATCGGGACCAGCCGTGGTGGGACCAATCCAAGGTACGCGATATCTTGTCAGGATCAGATGTGGATACAATGCTGCAAACTCCGATAGCGCCATGTGTAAATGATAGAATTATCTGGGGAATCATCAGTCGGGTGTTTATTCGGTTCGATCTGCATGTTGGTGGCTCCAGAAACCATATCACAATACAGGTGCACCATCCTCCTTCTAGAAGACTATTGCGAAGCTACATGTCCTTCCTAAGATACTTATTTCTGTGTGGAGACTAGCAAACGAAGCCTTACCTATTGGTAGCAGAATGCTGTCAATGGGGTTAGGTGATGGTATTTGTCTGTTATGCAAGGTTGAGGTTGAGACAACGATGCATGCATTTCAGGATTGTCCCTATGTGAGGGACGTTATCCGAGTGGCAGGTACATCAGGTGTGTTCCTTAATTCAATTTATACATTTACACTATTATGGCTAGAATCCGTATGTGCTACGCTTGAGGTTGATTCTTTTTCAGGTTTTATGGTGCTCCTTTGGAATGTCTGGAATGGTCGAAATTCACTAGTCCATGATGGAAAGCTGCAGCCAGCTTGGGTGATTATGGTCAATGCCAAAGTTTTGCATCATGACTTCCTTAGTGCCCAACGACAGCAACTCCCTACAAGGGATAGTGTTCACGAGACCAAGCGATGGAGGCCGCCAGCTAGACAGGTTGTTAAATTAAATGTCTATGGTTCTTACAACCCAACGATTAAATTGGCAGCGGTTGGTGTTATTGCTCACGATACAGGTGGTTCGGTCCTAGGCTGATTGGCTACTACTTTCGGAGGTATCTATGAATCGGTTTTGGCCGAGTTGTATAGTCTAGTTGCGGGTATTAATCTTGCAATTGAGGAGGAATGGCGAGACAATCTTATTGAGTTAGATTCCACTACAATTGTTAATCTTTACAATGATACTTCTGGTGATGAATCTATTGTTGGTGTTACATGGCAGCTATTCGAGAGAAATGTATTCTGTATGATAGTTGTATTGTGTCATACATGTCAGTCGAGGAGCAAATAAGGTTACTCATAAGTTAGCTAAAAGATCCCTTGATTGTAATGTGTCCTATATTTTTGAGTTTGATATGCCGACATTCATTGCGATTGATGTAAGACATGATTGTTTGATGGTTGATTAATGGATTTTGGGTACTCTTTTACCCTTATAGGAACCCAACCTTTGGGTTGGTAGAAGAGATTTTTAATGAGGTTCGTCTTTCTTTCAAAAAAAAAAATAGAAAGGAGTATTATCGTAATTATCCTTAAATATATAAAGGATAATTATAATATTATATCGGGTTGAGTCAATTTTTCTCACTTTAAACCCAAACTTGAACTTACCCGGCCACACTCTAAGAAAGTATGACCAAATTCGATTTGAATTTAAATTTTCAAAATAAAAAAATCAACTCAAATGATCATGTCAAATCGAAATTCGTTAATTATGGATAAGACGACCATCCCTGGTCGGATATGAGTGTTGACACTCACTTCAACCTGAAAAGTAACTTTTTAATGGCCAAAATCATGAAGTCCAATGAGTCAAAATAGACTGGTGTGGAGGACTATGAACCATGTGCAGATCTTGTATTTCAGTATTTGTTGGCCAAAGCATTCCATGGCAGAGTGCATGTTGCAGTCTTTCAGCTCCTCTGCAAGCGATAGCTGAATTCTTATTTATTTCTTGCTAATTTTTTGTCCAAATAAAAGCTAGGATTGAATTATAGATATCAAAATACGTTAAATCTATTTTACTTATGCAGTCATTATCGGATATCCTAATTTGATATCTGATTACATATTCGTAAAATTACAGTTAGATGATAACAGTAAAATAAATGATGCAACCAGAAATTTAAATAGCAGTATGATATATAATAGTTTTGGTGTCATTTAAAAACATTATTGTAGAACCATGGTATTGGCAATGAGTGCAATAGCATTCTTTATGTCCGTAATCACAAAAATTGTAATGCAACCAAAAACACGATCCTAACTGCAATTTAAAAAAAATCGTGGATGCAACATAAAGCACTGAAGTACCATGCCGTCGGCACGGGAGCAATCAGATTCAGCCTTCAAAATCCTTATAGATTTGAGGAAGATGACTCCAAAAAAGATTAAAAAAGAAGGAATAGTACAACTTCTAAAGCAGCCTTGGAGAGGAATCTTCTTCTATCCCACTTTATTTCTTTACCTAAAACAAGCAAGATACTTAACTCTATCCAGAAAGCTTGATTGTGTAAAGGATTCGTGCAAGTCGTAAAAATAGTGGATTTAATTAATAGATTTAATATTTATATTAAATTCATATTTTTTTATATTATAAATTAAATATAATATTTAATTTAAA